AAAACAAAAATACATCAGGAAGAAGTGTGAAAAGAAGTGTGAATTGTATAAGCAATATGGATTTTACCTTGAGCGATGTAATTGGGCCGGGAATAGTTGATCCATATGAAAAAGTCGGACAAAAGTGGGCCCACAAGTGGTGGGCTATTGACTAGGGCTGGGCTACAGTGAGCAAGGTTTGGTAGTGGGTGTGAAGAATGAAGATACAACACAATGTTGCTGGAGAATTGACTTTATCATAAGCTTTTGCAAATGCTTTCTTGGCGTTTTTATGATTTTTTTTTTTTAATTTAAAATAATCCTGTAATTTGGATAAGTTCATAACAATTCTCAATTTTTAAACATTTTTTTTTTTAAAAAAAGGAGTACGTTTTTTTTTTTTAAATATCTATATATAATTTTATAATCAATATTATACTTTAAGAAGATATAGGTAGGAGATGTTAACCAAATTTGTCGCCTAAGTTTAGTTTGGTAAATCTCGAGTTCGATTTGATATCAAACTAAACAAGTTTAGCACATCCAGCGACTTTGACTTGGCTCGTTAAAACCTTGTAATTAAGGTTTTTTTTCGTAATTTTTGAATATTAGCATAGTTTGATCTGTTAATATTGTTTTTAAAAAAACCCGAAGTTGATCTCGTTTATTAGCTTGATTAGTTAAGAGCTTGCTTCTGTAAAAATTTAAGCCTTATGTTTGTCTATCAAAAGTGCAAGTTCGTCTCGTCACGTTTATATATGAAGAATGTATAATGGTTACATGGACTAATATAAATATGGAAAAGAGAAAACGATTGAATTGTTTGCAACTGAAAATCTAATATATTTGTAATATTTTGAGATTGAATTAGCTATTTTATAAATAAAATTAAAATTTGTGTAAAAATGTTATATAAATAAAATATGATAATATGGGGTGCACATTCTTCAATATAATAGTGTGTAATTTTGTTTGAAAATTATGGTTGTCTAACCAAAAATAACATTTCATATATCACAAGATCTTATCAATTGTATACTACTATTAGGTGTGTGCAATGAACATATAAATAACATGTTTGTACATCCACCTAGCGCTACAAATGAGTCAAGTAGCTCACAAGTGCTTGATTCGAGCATTTCAAATGTACGTAAAATTACATAAATACTCATTTCAAATATTCTAATTGAATTTACAAAGCCCAATTGAAGCAAAGTTCGATCATATCACATCGGGAGAGCTGATCTCAAGCATTTGTCTTTTGTTGGCGAGTCGATCCGAGCCTCAAGCAAGTGTCAAAATAACCAAACATTGCTCGATAAAGTCAACGCTCAACTTGACTCGATTCATTCGCATCTCTTCACCAAACAATGAAAAACTAAGGGCAATCTACCCCCATAAAGTACCAATACCAAAGACAAAGCTACCACAAACCAAAACACACCAAATAAAATTGCAAGGAATATTAACTAATAATTAATTAATAAACCTACTAAAAAAAACACCATCAGAAACAATCACAGTTAGGAATTTCATCAACATCCGCCTCATCCTACCACAAATCGATTAGCATCAAAAAAACAAAAACAAAAAACAAAAAAAAGAAACACTAAATTAAACCCATCATCAAAGATACAATTAGTTAGATTAATTCCCCCATTTTTTTCGGGACTCCCAAAGGTACAAACGCAGCAGCTAAAAGTACCACTCCACTAAGCATAAACTGATCCACAGGACAAAGCCATGAGTACCACCGCCGCTCGCTCCTCCTCCCTCAGCTCGCCCATCAGCTTGCCGGACCTCTTCAAAACCGACAAATCGCCGCCGGCGAACACCATAAATCGCGTTTTCAGGCTACCCCGGCCGGCGACGCTGCTTCTCTTCTTCTTCTTGAGTGGCTTTCCGGTGTCAAGTCCGAGCAGCTGCCGCCGCTTTTTGTTGTATTTAATCCCACATGCATTGCACAGTGACTGCCGAAAAAAAATAATAAACAAAAATTTTCAGAAAACATGCAAAAAAAAAAAGTAATAAATAAATAAATAAATAAATTTCTCCATTTTTGTTTACCTTGGGACCAGCTGGGCCTCCTCTCCAGAGGGGGGTTTTGGTCGTGTGGCAGCCGCTGCAAGTTTTCTGGAAAAAAAAATGCATAAAAAAAATTAAAATTACTGGAAAATTACAAAAAATAAAAAATAAATTAGGGATATAGTTAAGTTAAGCATAAAATGTTATGATCAATTGATTCTTTTTTTTTTTCTCACCATATCCACTTTCAGATCCATAGCGCGTGGAAGGTTGATCAGGGAATGAGATCACATAAATAAACAATTTTTTTAGAGCCAAAAAAAAAAGGAATAAAAAAATAAAAAAAAATGGAAAAAACGAATTAAAAAATAAGAGGAAAATGGAAATTAAGGGTTGAGATTTTCATGATTTTGAGTTTTTGTAGAGAAGATAAAAGGAGGGAAGTGAGAGTGTTCAATTGTGTGCTGGGCCGTTGTGGTGACTGTGACTGTGTGTTGTGTTGTGTGGGCTGATTTTGGGTATTTTATATATATATGTCAAACGCAAAAAATGATGAGAATCCACGAAACCCTAGCTGACCACCGAAGGTTGTATTGACCATATTGCCCCTCGATTTCAAATTTTGAATTTGGGGTGAGATATTTATTTTAATTTCTTGTTTTTTAGGGGGGACTGAAATTATTATTATTATTATTATTTTTTTTGGTGGAGATCAATTGTAGGAATGAAATGAATGCATTCTTCTCTTCAAAATGTTTTGTATTTATTGTTGATTGGTAAGATTTGAGAGTAAATGAAATTCATTTAAATGAGAAATTTATTTAGGCCAGCTAAGTAAATAAGGCGGAATTTTTATTCCAAGTAAATGATTAATAGTCAATATATACTCTAACAAAATATAAATTATTAAAAGTACAGTAAAATTTGATGCGATCATGTGTTTGATTGACTTCATTTGAACTTAAAAAATATGTTTGATTTTAACTCGACTTGACCCTGTTAAAGTTTAAGTTCAGCTCGATTAAACAAGCCAAGATGAAATTTGTTTAGTTAACTAACCAAGCAAAAATTAATATTTCATGCAACTTTTGATAAATCGACTTGTTAAATATTGAATTAAGCTTATTGAATGGCATGTAAATATAGATATATAAATGGTTTGCAATCGAGTCATTCATAAATGGCTTATTAACATATTTAATTTATGCAACAAAATAGTTATTTGCCTGTACGAATGGGCAGGCAAGAAGAGTTATGAAATGACAAATCATTTGAGCAATTAATTAGCTTAGAAAAAAATAATACTATAAATTCATGAGTTTGTCGGATAGTACCATACAAACTAATAGTAGTACATTTCAAAAACCGGGGTTGACTGATTTTGCTCCATGGTCAAAGCTCAAGAGTCACACAGCCTACAACATTTTTAAATATTGTCTGTAGGTAATATTTAATATTTATTGCATAAATTCAAACAATGCTTTTTTTTTAGGTATCTCGAGGTGGATTAATAATAAAGATGTAAGGGTGTCTCCAATGGTTAGCTATTTGGCTAGCTATTATGACGTGGACAGGGGAAAAGTAAGAGAGAGAGTAGTCACTAGCTACTAACAAATAGCTTATCTATTTCACGTAGCCCAATATTATGTGAGAGGAGTATGTGGGTCCAATAGTGTAAAATAATTATTTTTCTTATCTCTCACATCCATGTCAGCTGACTATATAGCTAGTAATAGCTATTACCATTGGAGATGCCCTAATAACCATTGCACATTCAAATTGTGGTTAGATTTGAATTTTTATTGTGGCGGTTAATATTAATTTGAATAATTTAACCCGTCTAAGAATATATAAGTAGTGAAAAATCATACATATCAACTTAAATAACTCGCTATGTAGCTCGCCATTGCTCGCTATATAGCTTATTTTCGGAAAAACGCGACGTAGCCTTATATATTTAGCGTTTTTCCTGAAAAGCTTGCGCCAAATGTCAAAATGACACGCTTTCTTATGCTATTTTGCACTATTTCACGCTATTATGCGCTAAATTACGCTATATTTTTACGACGACATTTGAACAACAAAATAATCAAAAACTCATATTTTTAAGGATCATAGTCATATTTACAAATGACAACTAAAAACTAAAAATTTGATAATGATTTCAAATTAAAAGTTTGAAAATGCAAAGTCCAAAGTTGAATAGTGCAATATTTATCGCTCCATTTTTGTTATATCATTTTATTTTAAAAAGTTCATATATCTAATGGTTAGAATTAAGTTTTAGTTAAATAAAAAAATAATAATTAAAATGCATATACCTAAAATTATACTATGACTTACCTCATTTTATTTTCATTGTTTGTTTTTACTTTTTAGTATATTCGATTTATTATTTATTATATATATTACATTAAATATTTGTGAGAAATAATCCTTAGATATTATTTTTTAAGTCATTCAAATACTATGATAATTTTTGTAATCGACCATCCACTTTTATTATATGCAAATATATTTGTAATATTTCTATAGAAAAAAAAAATATACATAAATAGCTTACGCAACACGCTACGCTATTTACGCTACGCAATATTAAGACCAAAACGAGATGCATTACGCGTAAGCGTTTTAAAACACTGATATCAACACAAATACAATCCAAAGGATATTGTCGGTAAATAAAAAACATTTGATACTAAAAAGTCTCGATTTTTCTATATGCCATGAAGGTAGTTTCAATATTGTTTAAGTGCATCATCAAGAAGATTGTATGAATGATTTTAATTTTCTCCATGTGTACTTAGATTATTGTCAGCTTCACCGACTTCAAAACGTTCTCAAGACGTTCCAAGCAGATTATCACAATTTTCGGGTCGAACAAATTAGAAGACCGAATAGTGGCTTTATGCATCTCTTGCGAACAAGAACTTGCAAAATTAATGGGATTAACTATTGAATCAGGGTGAAATATTACAAGATGAGTAGAAAGATATATTACAAGATGAGTAGGAAGATGGTGGTCGAGTTTATACTTGATTCGATCATTAGTTCCACTAAAAGTGGCACTTGAAATAGCCCAGTGTTTTTCTTTATAGTCACTTTTATAGAAAAACACTGGATTTTTTGTAATGAGCCGAGCGAGCCATTTTGCAACACTTATAAGCTTATATTTCCAAATACTTAGAATCAAAAGTGCTAATCGAGTCAAGTCGAGCTCGAGCTCGAACCAATAACGAGCCTAAAATCAAACTCGAGCTCGAGTCGTTTATCACTAATAATGAACCGAGTTCGAGTCTTAACGAGCAGATGTAGAGTTTTAACGAGCAGCACTATAAAAACTTATTCAAATTAATATTTTGCAAACATGGTCACAATATTTTGACAAATAATTAGGAAGCACGAGACGAGACCACGGGGGAACTGCCATGGCTTCCATTACCGTGGTGCCGGACACCGACGGCGACCGCACGCCACTTAATAGCGATTACATGCCGGCATATCCTGGCGGAGCGACGGAGTGCTATTCACCGCCGTCAGCGGAGCAGCCGCCACCGAAGAATTCAGATGTCCCCAACCAACGCCTCGTGTCGCTCGACGTTTTCCGAGGCCTCACCGTTGGCGTACAACTCTTATATCTTTGAATTATAGTTGGTTGGGCATTTTAAATTCAGCTAATTATAGTGTTATTTTAGTTTACGGTGAAAATCTCTTATTATTAATCGGAAATTCTTTCTGCTGACTGTAAGTCTCAACGTTTATTTGTTAATTCAGCTCACCTTTTTTTTTTTTTTTTTTTTTTTTTTTTTTTTTTTTTTTTTTTTGTTTTCAAATAGCTGATGATCTTAGTTGATGATGCCGGCAAAGCATTTCCGTCGATAAACCACGCGCCGTGGTTCGGAATGACCCTTGCAGATTTTGTCATGCCGTTTTTTCTATTCGGAGTAGGTGTTTCTGTCAGTCTCGTTTTCAAGGTATCAATCGATATTGTAATCAGTACTGAATAGAGGCGAGCTGCACGTGATCTGGGATCGGTTTGTTAAGGCTAGAATTCGGCTCCCTCATTGATAAATTAGCTGAGCTCTAGCTGGTTTAGTTAGCAAATTGGCTTGTTAAAAGCTCAATAATAGGTGTTTTATGCAATTTTATAGTATTTCTGATTAATTTGGTTTGCTAAGGCTCGAGTTCAACTTATTAACAGTGATAAGTGAGCCGAACTCGAGCTCGTGTAGTTGACTAGCTGAACTTGGCTCCGCTCGATTAAGGTTCTATCACGAGTTCGAGTACCAAGAGCTTGAGCCGGTTCGGCTTGTCTGCACCTTTAGCCAGTTAATGAATTAAGGAAAAGAAAAAACAAAAGAAGGAGCTCAGCATGGAACTGTTCAGTAGTAATAATTTATTTGCTGTTGCAGAATGTGAGAAACAGATTAAATGCCACCAAGAAAGTAGTACTGAGATCCATCAAACTCTTTATGCTAGGAGTGTTTCTTCAAGGTAAACACACATTGAGGTTTCTATTTGAAATGTCAATTTCATCACCATGGAGCCCAGAAATAGATATTTGACCGTTATGGGCATACGTTTCTTCGTAACTTGAATGAATTACATTTTCCCCCTGATTTGAATCTCCCTGAGTTAAGCAGGGCCAAAGTCTTTAAACATGACTACATGTCTAATTATGCTCTTTTTATTGTTTCTTGCTTATGTATTTAGGTGGGTATTTTCATGGTCGAGGCGATTTAACTTATGGGGTTGATGTAACGAGAATACGAGTGATGGGTGTGCTTCAGGTGTTTGGCCTTTAGATATGTGGTTATTGTTTGGCAGTGTACTCTGTTAAATACTTGAATATATTGATCCCACTGTTAATTCTTCTCTCTCTCTCTCTCTCTCTCTCTCTCTCTCTCTGTCTCTCTCTCTCTCTCTTTTGTGTGTGTGTATGTGTGTGTGTTGAAGAGGATTGCTATTGGATATCTTATAGCCTCACTTTTGGAGATTTGGCTCGTCAAAACTACAGTTATAAATTCCACAAGAACATTTGTGAAGAGATACTCCTTCCAGATGTGAGTAAAAAATCTCTGGGTCGACTCGTTGCAATCTATTACAAATGGTGCTTATTTTATCATTATTATTTTTATATTATTTCTGTGGGGTCTAGAAAATGATAAAACGGACTAGAAATGATAAAACAATTTAAGTTTCAGGTACGGTGAGAGTTAAAAATTTTATGTAGCTCCAGATCCTTAGTTAAGTCGCAATCCTTCAGCATTGCATGATTTGATTCTGATATGTCAATAAGAAGACACTGCTGAATTATTGATTTGTGATTCGTAACCTATCTTTGTTGAGGGATATAGTGGGAATTATTTCAATTGCTTTCCTTTCCAAATTTCCTTGATCATATTGTCATCGTCTGCTACTCTTGTGTGCAGTGGGGCTACAATTCTACTAAGTTCATTATACATGACTTTGCTGTACGGCCTGTATGTTCCAGACTGGGATTTTGATGAGTCGAGTCTCAGCACGATTTTACCCATATCACATGGAGCTATTAGGAAAATTGTGAGTTATAGTTCTATAGAAGTTTTTCTCAGAATATTTTGTCTAATCTGTGTTTTTATTTTTCACATATAGAAGGTTAACTCAAATGAATAGCATTATTTATTTCATCTGCATATATGCTCAATGGTCTGGTACTAATTTTGACTTAAATTGCTGCACACAATGTTCAGCAGATAACTTTAGATACTATCAACAGGAGTGTTCTCGTGGTCTCTGTTCTTTTACTCTAATGTGAGGTTCTTGTCACGTCCACACACATTTAGTTAGCTTGGGGTGTTAAATAATGTTGTTGCAAATTAATTGCTGCTCATTTATGCTTGATGTCTCTTATGTGACAAAATTAGTTGGAGTGATGAGTTCTGGATTCTGTTAAAATTTGAAATCAAAGTCACTGTTAAATGCCTGTACGTGGACTCACTTGATTGTTTGTACTGCTGCTAGTGTTTTTAAATCTGCTTTCTGGTTATTTAAAGCCAGCTTAGGCAGCCACAATTGGTTGTCTTCTTACCACAACTTGTAAACATCTGGTTGATCAGAAACTTGATATACTCTTTGGTTATAGCCTTAAATGCCATTGAACTATGTTAACATTTGGAATATTACTTTTGAGTTGTCCCACATTGGTTCTATAGGGCAAATGAGTCTAGTTTATAAGCCTAGTGTGCACGTCTCCCATCACCAATTGATTTTGGGATGGACCCTTACTAAAGCGCACTTCATCTCTATAGGACTGCTCCCCCAAATCTATAACTCCAACCAGTGTTATTAATGGCGGATGGCGGTACATGGCGTTTTGCCAAAATTCCGCCATTGCGGCCGCCGTGGCGGTCTATGGCGCCGCCATGAACGCCATCATTCACAAATTTTGCATAGCGGATTGTTAAAAATCCGCCACGTCATACCGCCATGGCGCCGCCATGGCCGCCATTTGATAACACTGACTCCAACAGGTCGTGAAGTTCTCTCAAAGCTAGACTTGTTGTAATTAATATTCAGTGATGCGGACGTGTTCCCGATTAACCAAGTTACTATTTTAAATCCATTATGTGTTCAAGTCCGTTTTCCTTATTTGGAATTTGTTAGTTAGTCACTAGCCACTTCAGTTCCCAAAAGAAACAATTCGGAAAGGTTCATTTGTATATCTTTTCCATGGTCTTCTCAAGCTTTTAGTAACCTGTATTTATTTTTTGATCATGTCATTTCTGGTTTCTAGGTTCACTGTGGAATTAGGTGCAATCTCCAACCTCCCTGCAATGTGGTTGGATTTATTGATCGAATAGTTCTTGGTGAAAAGCATCTCTATCAGCGTCCTGTATATCGAAGAACAAAGGTTGTTATTGTTGTTGTTATTATTATTATTATTGTTATTGTATTATTATTATTATTATTATTATTATTATTATTATTATTATTATTATTATTATTATTATTATTATTATTATTATCATCATCTTTTAGAGTTTCAACTCCGCTGTTGATGCTTTCAGTACTGCCTTTCAGTTTTTATATCTTTGAATCATGTTTTTTGCTTTTCGTCCATGTGCCATGTTCTTACAGGAATGTAGTATCAACTCTCCAGATTATGGTCCTCTGCCACCAAATTCACCTGTATGGTGCCTCGCTCCATTTGATCCTGAGGGCATCTTAAGGTCAGATGTAAATATTTTTTTAAGAACAATTTTACAAATAAATACAACTGTCGATCCATGATCATTAATGAAGTTTTAGTATTAAAGATCACCAAATGAAAGTTCAGGACATAGGCTTCAATTTAGGTTTAATACAGAATGGCTAATGTTCCTATAATCGCCTTGTTCGAATCTATTTCTCTGAGTGAAAGTTTCAGTTCTCTCTGTACATTTACTATTTTAATTGAAGTCAATACATTCTTTTTCTTTTTTTTTGGAACTTTTGTACATGTACTGCTGGTTTGGGTGTTTTACAATCTTGTAAAAAAGTTGTTTTATTTGTATTTAAACATCGGCAGAAGATAAGACTTAGTGCTCCATCCATGTATATACCTCATCCACAATACCGAGTGAATTATATTGTAAGTGACAAATTTGTTAAATATAAAAATTTGTAAGCTCCTCTGTTTAAGCAGGAATAGTTTATCATTGTGGTCTTCATTAGTGTTGGTAATCTTTCTACCTTTTAATTATTGATAGTTACCGAGCTGAATGAATTTGCAGCTCTGTGATGGCTGCCGTTACATGTTTTGCTGGATTGCACTATGGTCACATTCTTGTGCATTTTAGGGTAATGTTCATCTTCTTTCTTGTCTCTTTATGACTCCCAACTCGTAAAACTACTTTCCATTTGTAATTTCTGATGTACACTGCAGGGCCAGATGTTGAGGGTGCTTTTGTGGTCCTTATCATCCCTAACTCTTCTGTTACTGGGATTTTTTCTAAATCTTCTAGGTACTTACACACTTTGAATAAATTATGGAAATTTACCACCTGGTTCAAATAATTACTAAAAAGTTCCAATTTTATATATTTTAAAATCAACAACTCTCACAACTCACAAGTCTTCATAAATACCGTATTTGACGGTGCAATTTTTGAAATACAGCAAATCGTTTA